AACCTTCAAAAGGTAAGTCTCGTGCCAGTTAACAAAAAGAAAAGAAAAAATTAGAAAAACAATCTGTACCACTCAGGTTTTAGAAAGCAAAGGCAGAAGAGTAAGAATTTCTCTTAAAACTATAAGGCATTGACATAGCCTAGAAGAGAGCGAAAAGAGCACCCCACTGGGGAAAAGGTAGGAAGGGAAGGAGAGGGGCAGAAAGCTGGAAGGGGGAGGGGAGGCCACAGAATAAGAAAAACAAAAATTAAAAAAAGAGTGTATCAAAAAATCACAGGTGGTCAAGAATGCTCACTGCTCTGTAGAGAACCTGAGTTTGGCCCCAACACCCACATCAGGAACCGCACGGGATCTGATACCCTTCTGCTTCTCTCGGGGGTTGGGGAAACAGGACCTTCAGGCTTCATACATGACTGGAACAACCTCTCTAGTCCATCCAGAAATGTTGATCTCAATGTAAAAGGGGCAATTGCCATTAAACAGGTTGTCCTGTACCATGCCTTCTATGTGTGAGAGTTGGAACCTCTGCAATGTATACAAGACATGGTGCTGAGAAAAGACCTCACTGACTTCTGCAGCTATGACTGTGTGCTGGCGTGAGGGAATGCAGTGTGACTATGTGCTGGTGTGAGGGAATGCAGTGTGACTGTGTGCTGGTATAAGAGAATGCAGTGTGACTGTGTGCTGGTATAAGGGAATGCAGTGTGACTGTGTGCTGGTATAAGGGAATGCAGTGTGACTGTGTGCTGGTGTGAGGGAATGCAGTGTGACTGTGTGCTGATGTAAGGGAATGCAGTGTGACTGTGTGCTGGTATAAGGGAATGCAGTGTGACTGTGTGCTGGTATAAGGGAATGCAGTGTGACTGTGTGCTGGTGTGAGGGAATGCAGTGTGACTGTGTGCTGGTGTGAGGGAATGCAGTGTGACTGTGTGCTGGTGTGAGGGAATGCAGTGTGACTGTGTGCTGGTGTGAGGGAATGCAGTGTGACTGTGTGCTGGTGTGAGGGAATGCAGTGTGACTTGTGTGCTGGTGTGAGGGAATGCAGTGTGACTGTGTGCTGGTGTGAGGGAATGCAGTGTGACTGTGTGCTGGTGTGAGGGAATGCAGTGTGGCTGTGCTAGTGTGAAGGAATGCAATGCGACTGTGTGCTGGTATAAAGGAATGCAGTGTGACTTGTGTGCTGGTGTGAGGGAATGCAGTGTGACTGTGTGCTGGTATAAAGGAATGCAGTGTGACTATAAAAATAAAAATGTAAAAAGACTTAGCAAACCCCTTAAAAACAGAAACAAAAGGAATGTACACTGTTCATAGACTTTGGTCTACCTCAGGTGAGAGCTGAGAGACTAAAGATGGATGGATAGATAAACAGATGGACAGAGAGGATTGATTTTTGATTAACTAGATGTGATGGTCCAAACCTTTCATCCCAGCACTCGGGAGGCAGAAACAAGCCACTCTCTGTATGTTTGAGACCAGCCTAGTTTACATAGCCAGTTCCAGGCTACATAGGGAGACCGTGGCTCAAAATAAATAAACAAACAACTTAGATATAAATTTAACCCTTTCAAAGCTTGGTAGTAAAATTACACGTTGTGTAATTGCTAGTTTCTTCTGTGTTGTTTTGTTTGTTCACAGTTCCACCCACCCCTGAAATAGATCAAATGAAGAGCTCTTTATAACAGATTTGTGAACCAAGTTAAAGACGCTTTATTTCTCCTTTACCCTCCAATTTGCATTAATTGGGAGCAGCCGTGAAACAGTGCCAACCTCACCTCAGGTCAGATGACTAAACAAAATGAACCGCTTCACGCCCACAAATAAATGTATCCCAAGTTGGAATGTGAATCAGTTACAAAACAGTATTCTGTTGAAGCTACAAAATAACCACACTAGTAACATATTTGTGCCCCAATTTTAAAAGGTGTAAAAGACACACAGTTGTTCCAGGAAAGGCTTTTCATTATGATTTTGGCCAGTCTCCTTTGAGCTCTGAGCAAATTCTCAGTTCCCTGTTTTCTAAAGAGAAGAGTTGAAGCCAGATGTGTTTAGGTTGGGAGGGTCCCTTCAGCTCCCTTCTTTAACTGGCCTTCAGCACAGCCAAGTCACCACTGCGCTTGTCGCCTGGATTGACTCGAATGAGGTTGCTCCTCGGGAACACACCATGAAAGAGATGCTGTCTGTGTCACACAGATTCTGGAGGCCACTTCCATGGCACCCAAATCTCAGGTTCTTAACAGTTTCAGCTTTAAAACTAAAGCTTGTTCTCAGGTATTCAGAACAAGCCTATGACATCAGATTCCCCAAGTGGAACCCTCACCAGTGTCTGCCTCACTCTATGCCTCCCCCTTCTGAATCTGGAAAACAAGTCTGTTAATACTGTCTGTCTCCTGTGGTCACTGTGAGGTCTAATGCATGTGAAATTGTTTCTACAAACCGTAAAGTTACTTAGTACTAGTTTATGAATGAAGTTGTTACCTCTGGCCCCTGCACTCTGGAGCCTGGGGCGGAAGACAGAAGGTTCTGAGACAGCCCGGACGATAGAGTGAGTTCCAGGCTGGTCTTGGGTACAGTATGGGACCTGTCTTGAATAGAACAAAGTAAAATAAAAATAAAAATAAATTTAATGTGAATTATGTGAGGCTTTATATTGTTTCCATGTAACCAAGTTCAAATCTATTCCTTAGAGTCTAAATCAGAATGAAGTTATTAAATTAAATTATATCCATATATATTGAAGTTTGATATTGTTTCTACAAAAGGCACTGTTTATTTTTAGATATTAATGTCAAAGCTAAGAGTATGCATGTACTTAAAACTGCAATAAAACCAAACAGCTCCAAACACAAGCCTCTTTGCTCTGTTGACTTCTTCTTTGGAAATGCCTTAAGAATACAGCATGTTTCTCCATGCCTTGGTGTCTAGTCCAATACTATCAGCTTTTCTACTCATTGTGAGTTCACGTTGGAGGTTTTAGATTAGGAAGGTATGGCAAGAGCAGCAGAAAGGGATTTTGTAGAAAACAGGTGAATACAATTTCAGAGTCATCTTTAATGGTTTTCAAGTGAAAGATGTTAGCAATAAATTTTAATAAATTATAATAAGTATGTGTTGCTTGTATATGCATGGCATGTGTGTTCTGCATGGAGGCATACTATGGATGAATCTTCATGAAGACAAGGTGAGGCCTTATCAAAAAGCCCTGAGTGGGGCAGTCGAGAAAATCTGCACATACCCAACATGCATTGCACACTGTTGAGTGACCAGGAATCCCTTTAATGTGATAAACAGAGCTTTTCTGGTGTTGTAAACACAGGGCCGCAGGGCAAAGGGACAGTAACTGAGTGTTTATGCATTGTGATGGGGAGGGCTCTTGTCCATACTGTGGAAATGGAGGGAGGGAAGGAGGAGGGTATGAAAGGGTCTGTCGTAGAGGGGCAGATGTGATTAAAGTACATTCATGAATGTAGACAATATAGCAAAGCCCAGAACTTTGTACGGTTAGTGTATGTGGTTTAAAAAAATGTAGACGAAGGCATGCAGAGACAGAAAGTCACATCACACAGTAAATCTAAAATGCCCAGGTTGTGACGGTGGCTCAGTGAATAGACTTCTTGCAAGAATGAGGAGCTGAGCTCGGGTTCATGATATCCTGTGAAAAGCTGGGCATGGTGTGCACGGGAGTCACCCCTGCACTGCAGGCATTGTTATATCACGAGAGGAACGAGCATAACCTATGCTGGAAATGGTCTGCCTTTCTAGGTGTTCTTAGGGACATAGTGGTTTTTACTTTGGGGCTCTTTTGCTCTTCTCCATTACCCTTCCCACAACGTCAGGGGACCAGCCCATCCCCGGCCAAGGAACCTTGGAAGATACACTGAGACGAATATGCTTGAGTCTAAAGTAGGTGGGAGAGGGAGTTTCTTGGTGAGCTTAATCAGCACATGACAATTTCGTAATAGAAGGTTTATAACACACACCAATGCAACCAAAACTACCAAAACCCAAGCCAAGCAATGGTGGCTCACTTTTGTAATCCCAGTACTTATAACAATGAGGCAAGAAGATCACCATGAGTTTGGGTCCAGCCTGGACTATAGACCGAGTTCAAGGACAGCCTAGGCTACAAAAAATGAGACCTTGTCACAAAAACAAAACACAAAAATCACCCATAAGCACACAGTTGTCATGGATACATATATATTTTTGTGAATACAAAAAAAAACAAACAAACAAAGACTGGCAATTTATACATCAACTTATGAGCCAGGCTTGGGGCGGGTTATCAAGGAAATTTTCATTGTTTTGGTGAAACAGACATGAAAGGTGGAAAAAAGCCATCTTCAGTTGTGGGTGTTGGGAATCCAGATATCTATGCTTCTGACCTGTGACTGTGACTTCTGAGTTCCCCACAACAATCACAAAAATTATAAGGCTGGAGCTGTCAGACATAGACGCTGATGCTGCCCCCATTGCCGTCTGCTTCCAGCAGGAGCCACCTTGTGTTTCTATCTGCAGAAAGTGTCCCCCATGGGCCACACAGAATAAACTCTCCAGGCATCTCCACTTGGGGCTGAGACGAGGCCCCCTCTCACCTGCACCAGCACAGGGGTGCTGCCTCATCCCCAGGAACAGGAAACGGCCTCTCATTAGCATAAAGCCTCCCACCTCCTGTAGGCCTCTTCCCAGGCTGGGAATGTAAAACTCTTGGGTGTTGTTCTTGAAGCCCCATAGAAAAGTAGGTCTTTGGGAGGCAGGAAGGTTGTCGCCCGCCTGAGCTCTGTGATTACAACCTAGTGTTTAGTGTCTTCCCATGAAACTATGTCCAGTTCAGAATGAGATTTCATCTAAGTCCATTTGCATTTATTCAAAATCGGAGACAGCTCTGAAACCCAACCCCATTTAAAGACAAGAATGAGAGCAGGCACTGATTAATCAAATGTTGGGGAACTTAAATCTAAAAAGCAATTTGTATTTATCTCCTTGTGTTTCCTTTTTCCCAGATCTGTGGTTTCCATCTCGTCGGAGGACCTGAGCGGTACCGAGCTTCGCACATGACTTAGTAAGGTCAGATGTCAGCCTTGCTGGCTGTTTGCACTTGTGGTTATTTTTGCTGTTAGTTGACCCTTTTAACTTCAAACCTGTGGCATTGCCACTTTTTAAAAATTTTATTTAGCGTAACTGAGGTGGGTAGTCCTGAGAAGTATAAGGTCGTCTGTGGCTAGAACTCTATCCAGGAAAAGAAATGGGTAAATTTGCTCAGGAAGAATGGCAGTTTCAGAATCCTGGATGGAAAGAACCATTCCTCTTTTTTCACAAGAGAATTGGGCCTGAAGAATCTGATCCCATCTCAAGTATCTTTTCCTTGAGTGCTTAGAAAAAAAGCCCAAGGATTAGATAAGCCTTGGCTGGAGCAAGCAAAGAGGAGTGAGCAGGTGCAGGTGGATGGAGGTTTCCTGATAAGTCCTCTGGACCGCCCCCTCCTCCTAGAGGAGTGCGGTAATAACAATCACCCTGTTTCAAATGCTGGGCTCTAATTAGGAAGCCGGTTTGTTTTCATCATTAGAACAACAGTTTCCGTTTGTCTCGGCCTCGAAGGCTATGTCAGCCCTCTCCTTTCTGTGTTTAGTATTTTTAGCCGTTTAAAAACTCACCATTAAAAAAAAACAAGAAAGGCTTTCTGCTTTCTGGCCGTGGGTAGTGTGCAGGCCTGGCTTGGGTCTGCTGGAGTCTGTGGCAGCGTTGGCTGGCAGCGGCAGGGTCTTTTGAATGCTGTCTTTGTGCCTCCCTTGCCTGTGGCCTCTGGCCTATTGTCTGGGCACCTTGGTTGGGCTGGTGCTGTCCGACTGTAACCAGTACTAATATTACAGTGCCTGGTGCCCAAGCCCTCCCTTGGGGGCCCCCAGTCTGACTGTCTCTGTTTCCCAGCTCTCTCTCCAGGGCTGCCACCACTCTTATCAGAAAACAATATTGGAAATTTATGGACTGTCACAAAAAAGGGACCACTTAAGGATCTTGAGATTTGTGGTTCTTTAATATAAAATGCAATGATTAATATTTCCCATGCTGCTAACATAAATAGCTCTTTATTAACTAATTCCCCCTTTACCAAATGCAACTTTTCAGTGAACCCCAATTTGGACAACATGAAAAAGGACAGCTGTGCTGTTTGAGGATGAGAAGGGTAGCTATGAGCCTCCCACCTCGGCTTCTTCCTTGTCCCTCCCCCAATCAAACTGGCATCTGAAGTTTCTACCGCAATGCAAACCCCAGGGACCTCAGGATACCCATATTTCTGCAGGGTGGCCCTTTGATTTCAAACATAGAAGCCATGGAAGTTTCTGTACATGCTTAAAGCATGAAGCATTAGACCCAAAGGAGCAGTCTATGAATCCATTGTTATATATTTCTAGAAAAGGCTTGGACAATCTATAGAAACAGGAATTAGTGCAATCGATATTACCTCAGGGAGAAGGGGGAATTGGCCAGGGGCCAGAAGCACAAGGGACTTGTCTGGAATAACAGGGAATAACAGGGTGGAATAACACCTTTCTAGAAGTGTGTCCCATGTGGCCTGTGTCAAAACTATCTGTGTGCTCTAGCCTACAAAATTGTCATTCCATGAACAAAAATGATAAAGAGGAAAAGCGCATGACAAATAAGCTAGGTCTTTACTGAATGAAAAGACCGTAGCCAGATACTTGCATCTGAACACCTTCTCAAAGCCCTGTGGGCTGCCTTGTGGCCCTGGTTCTCAACACAATTTCTGAAGTTTGGGGAGACCTGCTGTCCATGTAGTGCCTTCTTTGCCCAATAATCACTCACCTAAAATAATAGTAACAGCACCATATTTTTCTTAATCTTCACTACTCTTTGGATGCTTTTCAATGGCTGTAAAATACAAGATTCTGTTCATCACCACAGAGACTGAGGTTGAAAAGTGGAGCTCTGTATTATCTATAAAACAGAAGCTCCTGGACTCTGCCACTTACTCTTGGCTATCTATCTGTCCTGGCCCTGCACCCTGCTGTGACATTTGACCTTCTCTCAAGCCCCTGCTTCAGCCTGAAATATGTCAGACAACTCTCCTTAAATCTCTCCATGCCTTTGTTTAAAGGTTAGCAGTAAAATGGAAGGTGACCATTTGGGGTGAAATGCAGCTAAGGACTTAGACCAAGGAAGATAAGACTCAAGGCCCACCTTGGGGAAACTGATGAGAAGCAGGTAGAAGTTATGAAAAGGAAGTAAAGGGACCCATGAAGGGGCCTCAGGGAGCAGAGCAGGAAGGACATGAGAGGCTCAAATGTCCCACCCAGCCTTTGAGGCCATAGTACTTTTCTTCAGACAGGACAAACAGTCTGGTACTTGGAGAGATTTTTCCAGCGAAGGGCCAAAACAAAGTCTACCCCCAACACATCCTCAGGAACACAAATTTAGTTCACTAATGAAGCTATGGTAAAACTGAATCATCTGTAAAACATTTTTTTAAATAACCAGAACATTTTTTAACCCACACATGCCGTATTTTGCCTGCACATGATGCAAATTTCCTAATCAAACCAAATTTAATTTAGCAGATTTTCTTCCAACCGGCTTAACGTGCATGAGAGCAGAAATGGAATTACTTAATATATGAATTGGAGCAGCATTTGCTCCCTTATGATTCCACTTATTTCAAGTCATTAAGAGGCAACTTAACCAAATGGAAAATACCAAGCCAGAAAGTGCCTATCTTCTCCACTCCAGTGACAGGGAATATTATCTTTCTAGAACCAGAGTTTGGGACATGCCCCACCCCCAAATCACACTCTTACCCCCACTAGTGCAACATGTGGTTTCAGTTATTCATGAGAATGAGAGTAAGCATAAAATGTCAATAGTTGAGGTCTAGTCTATGGATATTTTCCCATTGATTTTATTTTTACCATTTAAATGATATACCTAATATAACCAAGTTCAGTCAAGTGTGATGTCTTATACCTGTAATCTTAGCATTTGGGAGGATGAAGCAGAAGAATTCTCCATGAATTCAAGGCTAGCCTGGGCTACATAGTGAGTTACAGGCCAGCCTAGATTGCATATTAAGACCCTATCTCAATACATACATACATATATATGTGTGTGTGTAAAACTATTATGTATTATATTTATGTAACTATTATATATTACATAAATATATATTTTTACACACACACACAGAGGAGAGAGAGAGAGAGAGAGAGAGAGAGAGAGAGAGAGAGAGAGAGGGAGAGGAGAGGAGAGAGAGAGAGAGGGAGAGAGAGAGATTAGGAAGATGGCATAGTCCAATAGTAAAGTTTTTCCTATACAGCATGAAGACCTGAGTTTGGTCTCCAGCATCCTCCTAAAATGTCAGACAGAATGGCATTTTAATCACATCACTGGGGAGGGAGACACAAGTGGGTCTTTAGGGCTCACTAGTGGATCTCAGTGAGAGATCCTGTCTCGAAGAACAAGGTGTATAGCTCCTGAGAAATGATACAGGAGGTTGACCTCTGACTTCCACACATGAGCATGCAAGCACACCAACCCTCTCATATATGTATTTGTGTATGAGTATACATATGTTATAAACATATACATATGCATACATATATATTGCATGTATTGTGTTATATATGTATATATAATTAAATTCACAGATGTTGAGTGCAGAATGCTGGTTGCCAAGGCCTGGGGGAAGCTAGTAATAGAAAAATGCTATTAATGGATATAAAATGTATGAAAATTATATCAGTGGATAAAAGAGTAAGCTGTAAACATCTGCAATACCACATTGTATACTATTACTTTGCAGTTCCCAATACTATACTGTGCACATAACAAAAGGGTAGATTTCATATTAACTGTTCAGACCACGTTAAAAAATAAATTAAAATTAATGTAAGATGAAACAAAAAATTGAAGAAAATGAAGAAGACTGCTGTTCTGTAGAACAGTCTAGAACTCAAGCAGGCTGCTTGCAGGGTCAAGATTGTGAAGTCTCCTCGTGTCCTTGCTTCCCACCAACTATGTCTCTTTCAGGATGAATGTCTCAAGGACTGTTCGGGCTTGCATCTCTAATGTCTTTTCCATCTTCCTGGAGCCTCACCTACCTAACTTGCCCCCTACACCTGCTAGATCTGCTCTTGCTCTTGATTTTTTTTTTTAAATAGTAGCCTGAACATATTCAAACGACACATTCCTGGAAAGCTTTTAACAAGGGGGGTATCCTGTTAAGAGTTTTCCCCTTCCGCTTTCCTCCAACTGTTTTCTCTAGTGTTGCTACTGAGCTGAAAAAACGACCCAAGGCAGTCTAACAGGACAGCCACCACTTCATGCATCTTTCCAGGACAGGCCAGGAAGGTGGCCCGGAGCCATGACTGAAGACTTCACTACCCACTGATAGAGCTAGCCTTAACTAGACCTGCCAACCTGAAACTAATCCATCTGTCCTATCAGCTAATAGCTTTGTAAATAGCTAAATTTGCGATGACAATTTAGAGACTGCCATATGAGGAAACCGTAAGAAAACTATAGCATGAACACAGTTTCTTTTTGTAGCAGGAGGCAGGGTTCTCTGGTTATCAGTGTGCTGACACTTTCTACATTGCTGTTCTTAGCAGTTGGCTGCCTCCTCCAGACTTCTTGGTTCAAGATTCCTGCTGGAGCTCTAGTTTTTACACAGGAATTCTAGACAATAGACAAGATGGCTTGTGGAGGTTAAAAGCACCATGTGGTTTTTGTTTGTTTTGTTTTGTTTTTTTCCATTTCATGATCTTACCAGAATTCCAGCCTTACAGCTATCTACAGTGCCGTCCACTGACTCCTAGCTGCAAAGGAGCTGGCCTGACAGAGTGTGGAAGCCGGTCCTGAAGGAACACCCAGACCCATCAGCCTAGTCCCAATTGGGCAGCTGGTGGAAGAGAGCTCTCTTCCAAGAGAGCAGGTGCATCAGCTACCTGCTTGTGCACTTTAAACCTCTGTAAAGAATGTACACTCATCTGTCTGCGTGAGGGATGGTTGCCTATTCACAAGCATGTGCATGTGTATCCAGGGACACCCATCTA